TGTTTCTCAGCGGTGTGTCTACCCACACAAGCCCGGGGTGACTTCACCATCACTTCTTACCACAAGCTTCCCAGCTATGGTGAGTATATGGGGTGCTCCTGGGTAGCACGGGGGTTGTGCCGAGGGTGGAATTGCTAGACAGGAAGGCGAGGAGAAGCTCTCCTTCCTCTGGCTGCACGCCGGCCCTGCGCCTGGGTTAGTGCTGGGGAAGCAGAGGAAGGTTAAAAGTCCTGACCGGGACATCAGACCTAGAGATCCATCAAGTCCCCGGGGTCACTGGCTGCAGCTGCTGTAATGCAGGTAACGCTTCCTCCTCCAGGAAGAAGGAAGGCTTACAAAGGTCCTAAAGCCAGGGCAGATAGGAGACCTGGTGGTCAGGTGGACAGAGGTGAAGCCAATGAAACATGCTGACACCAGCCCCACGGACAGTTTGGGAACGGTGGAGGAGCGTGCGGGAGGAACATCGGGACAGAAAAGGCCCTACACAAACCATCCCATGTCTTTTCCAACCTAAATGATTCTATGATGTTTTTTTCTTTCAGAAAGCAGGCACGAACAGTGGGCTTCACGCCCACTTAGTCTGCTTCCATGGGTAGAGCCCACGGTCCAGCTGGGAGACCCGAGATCAAGACCTCACTGACGCTTCACCTCTCTCCTCTGTTGCACCGTTTCCCCCCACCTGCCAGAGGAAGCCCCAGCACGGAGGTGGAGGCCAAACACAAGCCCTGCTTGGGAAGGAAGCAGGAGGGAGACGGCCGAGAGGTCCACGAGGGTCGGCAGCAACGTTATCTGCTTCCTAGCTGGGGTGGGACACTTCTGCCAGCAAGGAGGAGGAGCTCTGCTCTTCCCCTTCTGGGAGTAGTGTTTCATGGTTGGGAGGTACCAAATAACTCCCGTAAAATGCTGTCCTGAGTTATGTTCTGCTTCACAATGCTGCCAGGACAGGAAATTTGGTATTTCTGCAAAATACTTACTGTCAGTCTTGTCCAAAACAAAATAAACAATGCCAAGTCTACCCTGGAGAAGTTTCTTTCAGGCCCAGGGGAGGTGGAGGAACAGGTTGAGCTTTTTCCAGCCAGCTTTAGGGAGCCCCTTCTCAGGAAAGTCTCACTTTCTAGAGCCCCTGCCCCTTGTTTTGGGTTCATCAGCTGTTATATGACCTTGCACACCCAGGCAGAGAAGGCATTCACCTACCTTGGGAAGCCAGGCCAGACTGTCAGGACTTAAAAATATCAGTAAAATACCAGCATCTGTTCAAGTCCTCTGAAATGGCTGCAGCCACACTGCTCAAAGAGACAGAAAATTTTAAAACCTTCATAAGGTCTTTCAGTAACGGGACAGAATTCCACAAATAAGCATCCCTTCCTCACACCACAGTATTTCTGTTGGCAAAGAAACAAACCCAACCGGGGAAAGAAAGGCGCTCTGTTTTATTAGCTGAAAGTGCCATCAGCCTGGCGCTGGGGAGAGAAGGCCTCCACTGCAGCCCAAGGCACAGGTGAAAAGCAGACGCAGAGCTGGCTGAAGCAGGGCCGGTTCATCCTGGTTTTTGCTTTGCCTTCCCGAGCTCAGAGCTGAAGGTGCTTCTCCATCTGCTCCCTCAACTTGTATTTCTGAATCTGGAATAAAGCGCAGAGAGGAGGAGGAGGAAGAAGAGAGGCTCAGACAGGAGGCGAGACAGGAGGCTGGAGCTCCTGCCCCGCCCTGCCCCAGCCCCCTCTTACCTTGCCGGAGACGGTGAGCGGGTACTGCCCCACAAACACGACGTACCGCGGGATCTTGAAGTGGGAGATCTGGGAAGAGAAACCCAGACTGCTCTGCAACCCGCTGGGAGCACGGAGCCAGCCCAGCTGGTACCACCCAAGCTGGAGCTGCCAGGGCTGGATGCCCAGTCACTCTAAATCCCTGGGCTTTCATCTGCGAGTCTCCAGCAGCAGCTGCTGGGCATACTGGTCCGGCGAGGAACTGAGGACTGGGAGACCCACCTTCCCTTGGCAGAAAGCTTTGATCTCGTCCTCAGTGCAGTCCTGCCCAACCTTCACCCGGATGCAGGCACAAATCTCTTCTCCCATCCGAGAATCCTTCACGCCAACCACCTAGTTGGGACAGATGGACAGTGTGAGCCCTGGGAACATCCCCCTCCTCCCACAGGCCGTGCGTGCTGGTCCTGACTCATATCACAGGATGCTGGAGTCGTGGTGTGGGGCCGTGTAAAGGCAGTCTGTGCTGCTTGACCATCCCTCTGCATGACACTGAGCGCTCCTGGAAGGACTTCCCGACCACTTGCCAGAGGCAAGGTGGTAGAGCAGGATGGGTGCCCAGATGCCTGCACCTCCCTTTGGATTTGCAGAGTCACTGGAGCGAGGGCTGAGTCAGACCAGCCAGGCAGCATCTCATGGTGTTTGCAACATGGACCCGTCATCCCTCTGCAAGCCTCTGCTTCCCCAGAAAACGAGGGGACAGGTTTCACAACCAACAGGGAGGCTTGGGAGGCTGTTGCAAGTGCTTTGGGATCTCCAGATGGAATGGCAGGAGGGGGGATGAAGTCAAAGGATTATTTTAAACCCTTATAATCACAGATCTTAGTGGCTGTGACACCCGGCGATGGACTTCCAAGCCTGATCTCTCTGTAAAGGTTGCTCACACTATTTCACCAGAGTCCTGCTGTCATTCCCCGCCTTGAACCAGTATCTCAAAGGCCTACAGACACGTCGATGCTTTTGAGTCCAGAGCAGTGACATAAAGCCCTAGAAACTACATAAACAGGGCTGGTTTGCAACCCATCTGCACTGGGAGCATTCCAAGGCAAGATGCTAGCCTGGCACAGGCACAACACTGACTGAATAACTGGTTTATTTATGGGGAAACTTGTCTGGCACAAAACCTGGAGAAGAACAATCCCAGCAGACTGCAGCTGCTCAGTGCTGCAGATCATTGCTGTCTTGCAAAGGGGTGAAACTGAATCTCACTCCTCATCTCCAGGGACCTGCTGGAGGAGTCCATTTGGATTTAGGAGTTTAGTAATTAATTAGCAGTAAAAACGGTCGTCCCAGACTGCTTTCCAAGGAGGACTTTCAGAGGGAGCTATGAAAGTGGACAGGCAGTTTAAAAAGTGAAGAATGACAGTCTTGCAGATGTGAAGCTGGTGCATGAGGGGACAGCCCAAACCTATGTGCCCCGTGCCGGGAGCTCTGCCTGCCCCAGCCAAACCACCACCCTCTCCCTCTTACTTGCCAACCAATACTACACACAAGTTGATGCTGAAAACTGGGGGAGACAGCCAGGTCCCAGGCAGCAGTCCCAGCAGCTCAGTGTACAGGTTTCCCACCACAGGAACCACCGCTGCTCACCCACTTCACCTCCCTTCTGCTCACCTGGACCTCCTCAACCTTGGGATGGGTGTGGAGAAACTGCTCAAGTTCTGCTGGGTAGATGTTCTCTCCTCCCCGAATAATCATGTCCTTGCAGCGACCTATAATTTTGCAGTAGCCATGCTCATCCAGGCTGGCAAGGTCCCTGCAATGACACCACACTCCTAGTCCTGTCCCAGCTGGGTGGAAGAATGGCTGATGCTCCCACCCAGCCTGCTCTGGAGGCCAGGTCAGGGTATCCAGAGGGTAATGGCTGAGGTGCCACCTGAACACATGGAAGAGATCAAAGAGCTCCCACTACAGCCAGACTATGCTGTTGGCAGCGTTCATGCAAACACCAGGGCTCATGGGGAGGCCACTCCTGCCCCTGTGGTGCATCCCACAGTCCTTCCATCACCCCGGTGGTGGAGTGACCAGCCCCATCCCCAGGGCTCTTGGCACCCAGGGCTCTGTGCTAAAAGCTGTTCTGAAGTTTCACAGAGATCAGAGGGCTGAGCTGGCTTGTATCAGCACTAGTGTGGCCAGCAGGACCAGGGCAGGGATTGTCCCCCTGGGCTCAACACTGGGGAGGCCACACATCAAATACTGGGTTCAGTTTTGAGCACTTCCCTCCAGGGAAGACACTGAAGGGCTGGAGTGTGTCCGAAGAAGGGCAACGAAGCTGGGGAAGGGTCTAGAGCACAAGTGTGGTGAGGCACAGCTGAGGGACCTCGGGTTGCTGAGCCTGGAGCAAAGGAGGCTCAGGGGAGACCTTCTGGCTCTCCACAGCTCCCTGACAGGAGGCTGGAGCCAGGTGCGGGTCGGGCTATTCTCCCAAGGAACAAGTGATAGGACAAGAGGAAACGGCCTCAAGTTGCACCAGGCGAGGTTTAGGTTGGACATTAGGAAAAATTTCTTCCCTGAAAGGGTTGTCCAGGGCTGTCCCAGGCTGCCCAGGGCAGTGGTGGAGTCCCCATCCCTGGAGGGGTTTAAAAGATGTGCAGATGTGGTTTAGTGGTGACCTGGCAGTGCTGCGTCAAGAGTTGGACTTGATGATCTTAGAGGTCTCTTCCAACTAAAATGACTCTGTGATTCTAAATCGGGTCAGTTTTCCCTACTTTGGAAGTGACAGCCAAGGCACTCCTGGACACACCCCTCCCCATCCAGCAGCACCCTGCAGGACAGCCTGGGAGGAGCACGGCTCTTTCCAGACTCACCCTGTCTTGTACCACTTCTCAGCAGTGACCACTTCATTTGTCTTGGCAGGGTCATCCCAGTAGCCCAACATGACGCAATAGCCGCGGATCTGGAGCTCGCCGGGAGCGTTCAGGGGCACAGGCTGCCCTGTTTCTGGATCCTCAATTTTTGCCTGCAGAGGAAGAGAAGAAGGGCTCAGGAGGGAGTGCCTAAGCCAAAGCCGATGGCCTGCACTGACTCCAGCACCAGACAGGGAGGATGTGCCAAGGTCTGATGCAGGCTGAGGACCTGGAGCAGGTGGGGAGGGTCACGGTCACCTCTGTGTGGGGGAAGACACATCCCACCGTCTCAGTTTTTCTGGAGATGCTGTCATTGGGGAATCCCATGAAGGTGACAGGGCTGTTTTCTGTGGTCCCATAGGCAACCTGCAAACGAAGGAGGAGAAACATGCCTCAAGGGGAACGGGGATGGGGACCACACAGCTCCAAGCATGGGAAAGACAAAGCTAGTGATGAGCACAGGGCAGACTAGGATGGGAGGAAGGTGCTCTCACAGGTCACATGCAAGCACCACTCTCCTGGCCCAGGGACAGGGCTCTCCAGACATTCCTGGCATAGAGTCCTGGAGAGACAGGAGCTAAAGCATGTACCTGCCATGGCCTCCTTCGTTCCATCACTATACTCCAGACCTTCACCACCCACAACACTCTGGTTATCGTGGACTTTTGACAACCTAACTGCTTCTCTTGGAGGACCCCAGGGTTCGCCCTGCTCTTTTTTAACCTATGTCTCTCCAAGCCCTGTCCTGTTGACTCCCTGCCACCTCTGCCAGACGCTGATCTTGCCTTGCCAGACACTGATCTTGCCAGCCACCTGCTCAAGGCACCGAGCTGATCTTCTGCAGCTCAGAGCACAACGGCCATCGCTTTGGAAAAACCCTGGAGCCAGCAGTGGGCTCCTGTAGGAGACCACGTGTCCGCAGCACGGCGGCTTGCTCCAGATCCTTTTGTGCAGACATCAGCTCCTGTAACCCTCCTGAAGGCATCACGAGGCTGCACGTACCGACCGGGAGCCTCACAGCAGGACAAACAGTTCGCTGCTAAACCTCCCTCGCCGCTAATCCCGCGGCGGGCTCCGAGTCACCTCAGCTGAAGGTCACTTGTCCTCGGAGGAAAATTCCAGTTCTTTATGCCCAGCTCAGTGGCCTGCCAAGACAGCAGGAGCTGGGCAGGAGGTGCTCTGGGCAGCTCTGAGCTGAGCTGACAGCACTGTTGCTGGAACTCCTGTTCCACCTGCAGCTCTTGGGAGCTGCATTTCAACAGTGGGACACTGGAGCTCTGCTCTGGTCTCTCTAACCTGCTCAGCACGTCTTGTGCCATCAGTCAGGGTTTCTCTCCCACCCACTAATGTCACTGGTGGGTGCTTTGCTAGCAGAGCACTGCTGCAAAAGGGCCTGTGCTGTTTGTTCCTTTCTCCTGCAGGTCTGACCATCTTCCTACAGCCTCAGCCCCCAGATCAGGGTCATGCCTCTAGAGCAAACACCCAGGCTCCATTGCTGGCAGCAAGGCCATGTCTGCACAGCCAGGGCTTCTGCGTGGTGGTCACCAAACGCCAGGCACTGTGCCAACAATTAACAAGTGGCTCTGCAAAGTACTACGATGAGGCATCCTGAAAAAACACACATATCCTGAAGGAGCCACAGGCCAGACTGCGGGAGAACTCTGCTCTCTGCCGTGCAGGGCTGCTCACGTTGGGCACAGTCTGTCACAGTGCCCGATGCTCTTGTTTGACTGCACCAGGGTCAGCATGGATGCGAGATGGAGATTTGCAGGAGCCTGCTTTTAGCCAGGAACCTGGAGGAGATCTCCAGGATGCTGCAGGGACCATCTGGTGCAAACTGCTCTGCTAGGAGCCTGGCATCCCACAGAGAGCGACTGTAAATAGGCTTCTCCTACTAGATGCAACAAGAGCTTCCCAGCTGGGGTGGAAACCTACAGCAACTAATGCTCAGACAGAATTTCTCTCCCACCCACTAATACGAGTCCTGTGGCTGGATCAAATGACTGACGAGACACAAATCCAAGATCTTAAACACATATTAAAAATCCCAGCGCCTTGGCTTTTTTGTTTTACCCTGCTGGCTGAATTGCAGTGTCGGTCCCAGGATCCCAGCCAAGCCCTGAGCCAACCCTTTCTGCCTCTCTGGGTCACTCAGCAGTTTAATTGGACACAACAGCAGGCAGCTCCCTGGCAGGATGATGCTGCGGGTGCCGCGGCTCACTGGCCTGGCGGCCTGCCGTGCACCCCGAGCCCCAGCTGTCCGTGCCTTGGCCAGCTGCTTGTCCCCATAAACACCCTCACACCCTCAGCAACGGGCTTCCTGACTCGGCCCGAAGAGCAACGTGGTTCTGACCCTTCAGCCTTCAGCCTGCTGCCTGATCCCTGCCTTCCCTCCCAGCCCGCCCGCCCCGGCACCACTCTCTGCGGCCAGGCTCCGGGATGTTGGCTCCTGACCTTTCCAAGATAGCATTTCCCTCTTGGGATAGCATTCTCCTCATCTGCATTCCCAGGACTGAGGCAGTGGCTGGAGCAAGCCCTCGCACCAGCACTGCTGTCCTTCCTGACCTTCATCTGATGTGTGGAGCATCCTCCAACAACTCCACTGGCCCAGCCCAGCCCCCAGCCGTGGCTCGTGATGCACGAGATGAAACCACTTCCACAAAACCCCACATAGCAATTTAAGCTTGGAGCTATCCACATAGATTCATAGCTTTCAAGACCCAGAGGGACGCTTAACATCATCTAACCTTGTCATCTGGTCTAATTCAGTCCAGAAAACCTCACCCAATAATTTCTACATCAGCTCCATAATTTCCACTGAAACTATATCTAGTGTCAAAGCAAAGCTTTTCAGAGGCAAGGAGTCCAGCTCAGACCCTTGGCTGCAAGAGGAGCTGAAAGCACAGAATATAATTGACTGTAAAGCCTGTTTTTTTTTACTGTGAGGACCACAAGTGACCTCCCCACCACCACCCGGCACGTGGATCAGTCCTGCCTTCAGCAGTGACAAGGACAGCTCCAAAACAAACTGCCGCCTACTTACTCCTACCGACAACAGATTCATTCTTTGTGAATCCTAAACCTCTGTCTAAACCAGGAATAAAAAGAACATCTTAGCAGAACTGTGTTTTTTAAAGCATATTTCAAAAACATTTCCTGCTAGCACTGTTTAAACACCGGCCACTGTGGAACAGGCAAAACAGCCTGAAGATGAAAATGTCTAAAACTTAAAAACAATCAGACTCCAGTCTCTTTAGTAAACATCTGGGAGGCAGACTGATCTGCTGGGGACAGTGGGGACTCGACACCCTGGTTTTTTGCCAACCGTGCTGCTTATTCACTGCACAATTTGAAACGAGTCACATCAGCTCTCTGCTCCTTGGTTTTCCCCAGCATTGAGTGGCAATACCAGCACCCACCTCCCTCCACGTTCAATGGCTGAGGTGAAAAGGCTGGTTTCAGTACCACCAGTACTCCAAGTGGGGTTATACTGGGTGGGACTGGAGCAGAAGCTCAGGGCTGCAGGACGGCATAAGGTCCTTGGAGAAAACTCCCCTGGACCTGCATGATGCTCATGAGGATCTTCACGTCCCTCGTCACCACCCTCTGGTTCTGCCACGCTGGAGGATGATGGCAGGGCTTGAACCACCAACTAAAACCTACAGAGACTGAGCTTCACTGAAGACAATATTGGCCTCGGAAAAAAGCAGCAAATTGACCATGAAATAATAGGGATTTTTAGACTTCAAAGAGGGCGTAATGAACAACAGAAAGCAGACTGGCAACCCCAGAGATGTGCTAAGGGACCTCTAAGAGGCCCTTTGAACCTCTGTGTAACATGGTGAATGGATCTAATTATCCTTAAATCCATGCTGAGCATGTTGTCTCTCAGATATCTCCACCAAACTCAACCCCGGCCCTTCCCTTCACAGCCATCTCCAAATTGTTCTCAACTGAGCAACAAACTTCTCTCACTCAGCTGCTCACTACTAAGATCACTCTGAATTTTGTTGTCCTCTGAGGATATGTGTCTCCTTATTTTGAGGCCGTCCCACTATCCCAAATTGTATTGGAATATTCCTGACCCTTTGGGTCAACTTTGCTGCTGCAAAAAACAACTTCTGATCACGTCCAGCCTGTGTCACACTGAGATTTCCTTCCCTTCGCCAGCAACAGTACCATCTTTGTGTCAGCAACGTCAGGACACAAACAAGCAGGTCTTGTAGGACAGAACTCCAAGGGTGGCCACCCTGTTGGCATTTCCCCCCCCCCGCCCCCAAATGCTGCCAGACAGTCCCAGTTTGGATGGGGCTTAAAAAGTTCCCAAAAATATCAGGTGGCCAAAGCACCATCTTTGTGTTGTAGCACGCAATGGCTTTGCCTCAGGAGGTGGCCACTGCAAAAATGGCAACACAGCTTGCCCCGGCCAGCAGGCTGCCACTGAAAATCAACCTCCTGTGCTTGTACAGGCAGGACAAGCTGCTCCTCGTGGTCTGGAGTTAAAGCTACCTCTCTTCTTTCCAGGCTGAGCAGAAGTCTTGAGGCTTGCAAGTATTTCCCCAGTCCTGTCAGCGTTTCAGAAGCAGTGCCCAGTGGCAACCAGCAAAGGCATGTGCAGTCAGTTACTGGTTTATCCACAGCTTGATAAAAGGTCTTCACTATGTCATTAACTCCATAATCCCTGGTGCTGGGTGCCAATGCATTTAGGAAAAGTGGAATTAACAGGGAAAATGAGAGGAAATGTGCAGAGACTGTCTTGCAAAGGCAGAAAACCACTGGTTTGGGGGTACCTGAATGCTCAAAGTTGCTGGGGAAAGAAACTTGGAAAAAAACTAGGGTCAAAGGTGACATCCCCATGGATTTAGAGAGCTCAGCTGCCCCTGAAGATGTGGCTGGAAGCCCAGGATCTTGTTGCTTCCATGCTGCATTTTAAGTGTTCTCACAGCACATTCCCAGAGCTTCTGCAGCTACTGAAATCACCTACTCATCAGGTCTTCCCCAAAAATGAGGTGGGATGGGATGGGGAGGTCTCACTTTGGCCAAGGACAAGCAGGGAAGTTGTTACTGTGTGAAGCCAATTTTCCATTTTAGGAACAGGGAGGACTCCTGGCCAGGGAGTCAGAAGTCCTGCATGGATCAGTTGTGTTCTGCAAGGGAAGAAAGCTCCACTCTTCTTCAGAGCCTGCAAGAGCTGCAGAGAGGACAGCAGCCTCAGGCAGAGCAGCAGGCTGCTAGGGGATGCCTCATGCCTTGCAGGGTGGACACAGCAGGGTTAGGAGATACAGCAAGGGTGGGGTGAGCCTCACAGGAGAGGCCAAGAGCATCATGCAGCAGCTGCTAGGATCAGACAGAAGGGAAGAGTGGGTGGACACCAAAGAGGAGCCAAACTGGCAACACAAAAATGGGTGGAGGCCATGATACAGTGGAAGAAAATCATCAGAAGGAAGGAGATGTACCCACCACCACCTCCTCCAGCTCAGCAAGCAGCCTGGGCCCCAACACCACAGTGAAGGGGACCCTTCAAGCATGTCAAACAGAAGTGATAACTTGGGTCTGGACTCAGAGGGCTGTGTGAAACTGTTGCTGATGGGATAATTGTCCACCACTAAAAGTCAGGGGGTTTACAGAACCCCAGCATGGGAGGGGTTGGAAGGGACCCCTAGTGATCACCTCATCCAACCCCCCTGTTAAAGCAGGTTCACCCATAGCAGGTTACCCAAGATCACATCAAGACAGGTCTTGAAAGTCTCCAGAGAAGAAGACTCCACAACCTCTCTGACAGCCTGTTCCAGGGTTCCATCACCCTCAAAGTAGTTTTTCCCTCAAGAACATTTCTCAGGTACTGCTTGGAAGAGAGGGAACCCTGGAGCTCCCCACTGCTCTCCCATGGGGGCTCCTCAGATGCTGCCTGGAGGGTGCTGCATGCTTGGGACAAGCCCCCTAAGACTTGTCCTTGCACCTTCTCCCATCCTGTTCCTTCACCAGCACCCCGTGCCAGGCAGAGGCAGGGGCTCAGCTCCACAAGGGCTGGTGCTGTGCAGGCTGCAGATGGGGACAGTACGTGCACCCCAGGCTACCTCCCCAAGCTGCCCTCGCCTCCAGCCTGGACCAGGCCAGAGACACTGGTGCCCCTTCAAGAGAGGAATAGCTCAGTACTGACAAGCAAAACTAGATCTGGATCCCCTGAAAAGCCACAGAAACAGACTTAAGCAAGCAGTGGAATATTTTAACTCACATGGAGCTGTCTTGGTATGCCAGAGTTGTCAGTACTAACAAAAATAAAGATGAACCATCTTTGTGAGTAAGATGTTGGGATGGAAACAGATGGAGATGGAAAAGACCATCTCCAATGTTGTATTGAAACAGCTCAAACCTGCAGCACTAAAGGAACACCCCAAATCATATTCATACTGTTTCAAAAGCCATATTATTTGCTTAGCCCACAACACCCCAAAGAGGAGAGGACGGGAGTCCTCCAGGAATGGCACCAGGCCTGTTTGTACAACTGTTAATCAGTTAAGAGCGAGCGGGTGGCAGGGTAATCCTGCCTCTTCTGCGAGGTGCCAGCAGCTGGGTCCCAGGGGCCGTGGGGCTGGCCAGGAACCAGCTGCTGGGACATCCCCCTGCGGGGAGGGGACACCGGCACCGCTGCCACCGGCACCCCCCGCGGGGCCCAGGAGAGCTCTGGACGATCTGCTGGCCGGCCGAGGGCTGTGAAACCCACTGTGGGACAACCAGACCCCCCCAGCGAGAGGCTCAAAACACAAACAGCAGGGAGCCCAGGGGCGAGGTGCCAGCTGTGGCAGATGCCAGCCAGCTCCCACCACAGGAATGTGCTCACCGAGGCACAGAAATCAAAAAACATCAGAGGAAAGAACTTCCTTCTATTTAACGTTTGTGCCTGGAGGAATGGAGCTGAGAAGCAGACGCCTGTCCCCCCAGCAGCACTGCCCTGCTGCCTCCCAACCAGGGGACCAAAAATAACCTGGCACCCACCTTAGCCTCTGCTGCAGGCGCTGGGGTGGTGGGGACCCCTCGGTGTGGGCACAGCTTCCCACCTTGCACCAGCATCGTGGTACCTACATCACGGCATCTTCACGGGGAAGCTACGGGTCCTACCCCTGTCCACAGCCAGAGCACACACAGCCCCACAGGGAGAGCATCCCTGCCCCCAGAATCTGCAGTCTCAGCCAGCAAACAGATACAGGGTGGAAGAAAGGGAAATTTATCCTCAGAGGAAGAAAGATTAGAAGATAGTTTGAGGTTTGGGCAGTTCAACCTCTGAAAAGGGTCTTGTTCCAGAAATGGGATGTATTTATGGATGGGGTTTGCAAGGCCCTCACCAGTTCTTTGCTCCAATCTCACCCACACTGGCAGATATCTCTGCAGAAGAAGTAGGCTGTTAGCTGGTATTTTTTGTAAGGGGATGGGAAAACCCAGGATCAGACATCAGCTGCACTTGGAGTGGGACCATGGCCATGCTACCCACCTCCAGTGTCCAGCAGAAACAGCCTGGATTTCAAATCTCACCCATCAGTTGCTCTTGCACAGTATGGCTGGTATGTAACTGCAGGAATCATTCATTAAATTATTACAGGTAAGACTAAGGTGGATGAACCTGCTCAGAGGAAAGAAATGAATGAGAAGAGAGAAGATGATGCTTTAGAGGTGAATTGTTTTCCTTTCCTATCATTCACCCAGCTCCCTGTCTGAGCTTTACAAGCAGCACACACGTAACGGGCACTCTCAGTCCCGATCAACCCAGAGAGGCAAAGGAGGAAATCACAGAGTTCTTCTGTCCACCTCTTCTTTCGCTGTCTCAGAGGTCCTGACCGAAACACTCAAAAAGCTCCTCCAGAGACTGGTGTGTGCATGACCATTGCAGTGCCTACTGAAACAGGCATCAGCAGAAATACTACTGTTTTTATCAAAGAGTGGTAAATCCCACAGTAACTACAGCAGCAAGTCCTGCAGGAGGTCCCTCCAGGAGGAGCCTGGAGCCCCTACAGTTGGAGCATCTCTCTGGAGGCAAGGCAGGAGAAGCACTTGGTGCTGAGGTGAGTGGCAAGGTCACTGCACCTCTGGGCTGGCAAACACTGGGAGCCTGACGTGGCCTGGTTCGCACCGAGCTCCCACATTACATCATCGTTTGGCCAACCTCATCTGCCTTACAGGCTCACCAGAACCTGCGTTCACACCCCAGAAGCCCCTTTTCAGCCCCAGATTTGTCATGCATTGAGAGCGCCGCTGCGAGTGCCAGCTGGGCTGCCGGGCAGTTTGCATAACGCCGCCCGGAGCGTGCTCGGCGCCGCTGGCTCCGTCCTCGGTGCAACAATGGAAAAACCCAGAAACCTGGATGAATGAGTCGGTCTGTGTCCTAAGTCAGCCCTTGGATTTCCTCCCTTTCTCCAGCCTGTCTCGCCTCTGCAAAAGCTCCGCTGGGGCTCTGCAGCCAGCCTCGGGAGCAGAAACCTCAACAAGCTCACAGTTATGTGCTCGGCTCTCAGCTGTTTGCTGCGGCCAGGAACTGGCTGGAAATCAGTTCAAAATGTTCCACTTCCAAACCCCACCCCACAACCCCTGGACCTCTCTCTTCACGCTCACAGAAACAGGCGCTGGGGCTTTGCTTTAGCCTTAACCATTGGGAGAGCAAAGGACATCCCCCGTGTTGTTATCTCACCTCTGCCACTGCTGCCCCAAACAGGAGCCAAGGCAGATCCTAGTCCCAGCTCCAGCAGCTATTTCCTTGCTCTGCTGGAAGATCCAAGCAAGCTCTTTCCTTGCTCCATGTCCACAGCTTTACCTTGAGAGCTGCAGGCATTGCCATCCACCTCACCAGAGCCAGGCACGCAGGAGGGCACCACTCTTTGACCCTTCATACCCACCAGCGATGCCCCACCACTTCCCTGCAGGCTCTGCCACTGCCTCATGCTTTGTTGGAAGGCAACAGCCACTGCTCCACAGGGCCACGTGCTGAGAACAGACCCCTCACACAGGTATCCTGGCCATGACCATGGATGTTTCACACTCAGCTGCTCAGAAGGAGAACATAAGACTGTCTTTGCTCTCCTTTTCTTGGCCATCTCCTAGGTGCAGTCTAGATCTGGAAGTCAACCAAAAGTTTGCATTGCAAGAGCAACTACAGCACTGTTGGTCTTTGGCATGAGCCCGTATCACTCCCATCTTCTCCCACTCCTGCTCAGGCAAACTCCTTTGAAATCAGCAAGATAAGACCTTCCCAAAACCTTCCTCTGTGGTAACAGGACAAGGTGCTTCCCCCCAGCCCAGCAGAGGCTGCATGCACCCCGGGAGCCTGCTGAAGGGTTCAGCACGAGGTGGCTGCAGAGCACAGGGGTGCTCCCTGCTATGCTGTTCAACCCAGAGAGGTTGTTTTCCCCCCACTGATGTATCTGGGCCCCGCTGGGCTCAGTGGGTCCCAGAGAGGTTCCCCACAGAGCAGGTCTGTGTTTGTCCTTCCTGGCCATTTGCCTCCCTGCTGCAGAGAGGAGAAGTCCCTCCGGCGAGTCGCGTCGGTAGCGGGGCCAGGCAGGACCACGGCTGCTCCTCTGCCTGGTGCCAAGGGGTTAAGCTCACAGTAAGTTCCCAAAGCCAGTTGCTTCCAACTGGCTGCTGCCTGCGGTTTGTGGGAAGGGATTTTGCTTTTTAATAACATTATAAATAGGGCTGTGTTCAGCATGCTGCAAACCCAGTTACTCTCTCTCTCTGCCACCCATCTCCCTCCTCCTCCTCCTCCTCCTGCTTCTCTTCCCACCACCTAATTCCAGATCCGACCATGAGTCGGTCGGGTTTCTTCCTCGGTGTCCTCAGCCTAGTGGCATGTCTTGTCTCCGTCGTGCAGGCATGTCCCCCGAGCTGCCACTGCCACGGCGGGGACCTGCAGCACGTCATCTGCGACAACGCAGGGCTGAAGAAGATCCCCAAGGTGCCCGAGCAAACGCGGCTTCTCAACCTGCAGAAGAACAACTTCCCCGTCCTGCCGACCAACGGCTTCCGTGACATGAAGAAGCTGGTGTCCCTGCACCTCCAGAGCTCACGGATCAAGGAGATCTCAACCGGAGCCTTCCGGGGGCTCAAGAGCCTGGTCTACCTCTATCTCACCGACAACCAGATCAGTGTCATAAAGCCAGGAGCCTTCGACGACCTCTCTGATCTCACCTACCTGTACCTGGACAAGAACAAGATCCCAGACCTACCCAAAGGGCTCTTCTCCCCTCTTGTCAACCTCTTCATCCTGCACTTAGGCAGCAATAAAATCCGGGAGCTGAAACCAGGGGCCTTCAATGGGGCTAAAGACCTGCGCTGGCTCTTTCTCTCTGACAACTCCCTCACCAACCTCCTGCCTGGGGCCCTGGAGGACATAGAAAACCTCGCTGTTCTCCACCTGGACAAGAACCAGCTGAGCAGCTATCCTGTGAATGCAATGAGTAAGCTGAGAGTGCTGGAGGAACTGAAGCTTTCTCATAACCCAATCGAGGTCATCCCTGACAATGCCTTCCAGTCCTTTGGGCGATACCTGCAGACACTCAACCTGGACAACATGAAACTGAAGAAGGTGAGTCTCTTTCCATTTGTTCCAGATAAGAAACAGGGGGCTTCTCCTTTACAAAGCCCCAGAATTGCTGTCCCTCCCTTGCAGAGGAGAGGGGAGATGCAGGTCTGCAGGCTCTGCAGATAGCGAGGCACTGGCCTGCTGATAACACTCCTGACATGGCCCAAACAAAGGATGAGAGAGAGTAGTCCACCCTTCTGTTGAGTCATTTTATACAAAACCAAATTATCTTATTATTAGCTGATCGAACTCCCTGGAAAGGCAGCACACTCCCTCCCAAGCTGGAGGGGACGTGAGTCATTGAGGAAGGTGTTTGGGGAGCTCCAGGACAACTGGCAATCCTCCATCATCCCAGACACAAGGCGTGGGATGAGAGGCAAACATCCACCTCGTACTGGAGGGACTGAAGGGCACAGACACCTTGCAGAGCTCCATTCAGCCCAGGTACCTATTGTAGGTTGGGGAGACTCCTCAGGAGGGGCCACAAAGAGCAGTGGATTCGTGCCCACCCCAAGCAGGCAGGTAGGCACACAGACCTTCACCTGCACCTCCCCCCACACCTCCCAACTTTACACATTATAAAGAGAGGTTTGTTTATTGACACGCTCCCAAAAGGAACTCTCACAGGGTCTTACAAAGGGGCCCTGTTCCCTCTGGAGAGGAGGAGGGACATTCAGGTATCCCACATGGCAAAACAACCCCCTTCTTCTTCTGTGAGAAAGCCTGAGCCATAGGCAGGAGCATCACACTCACATTAGGACCTCTGAAACACCAGGCACTGTAAGAACAGGCACGAACACAATGAGGGAGCAGCAGCACCCTGCTGCAGCCTAGAAGCACCCCACAGGGCTGGAAATGGAGGATGCTGCAGGTGGGGCAGAGCACCCATCCCTGGACTGGTGCCTTGCCAGGAAGCCCAAAGACAATGGGCATCCAGGTAAGGCAGGCTATGACATCAAAATCCTGGACTGGGCAAAGCAACACCCACCACACACAGGGAGATGTGATGAAAAAATTTCTCTGCAACAAAGAACAACTCAGAGGGCCTTACAGGGATGAGTAGAACACCTGAAAGCGATCAGAAATGGAGCACACCAGAGTTTTCAAGGGGTTATAGCATCCCAAAATGCTCAAAACCTGGAATTACGGTTTGCCCAGGTGGAGAACAATACTGCTTAAAGCACCTCTGTAGCACTCAGTCAGTATTTAAGTCCTTGTCTACTCTCAGCACTAATCTCTCCAGGATGGGAGTGAGCGAACCATTCAAAAACAATCTGCTGACTTCTCTAGGCAAGCCCTTAGCTGTGCACTCACAGCACTCCTGTAGTACCAGTTTTAAGGCACTTCCATAATGTGCAGGTCAAAAATTACAGCTTACATGTTGTACCAGCTGTAGAGACATCAGAGTCACAAGTTACACACTGGAGAAATTAGACTAACTGATGATGCTGAGGGGCTCCAAGGAATTAAGGTGTTCTTGGATTGACCAAAAACCAAGTGTTAACAATTCCAGCCAGCGAAAAAGACTTTCTTCTTTTCAGTGACCACCTGTGGAAAGGACCTTTAAAGGCTCTTCTGTAGCGAGATGCCTCCTTTCCTCCCCAAGAGCTCAATAAGACACCAGTTTATGGAATCAGCACTAACAGGGGTGGCCTCTGTAGCTTTAGGGCTTGCATTCTTTTGCAGGAAAACACAGCTCAGAGCTTTCTCTTCAAATCCTCAATGGCCTTGTATCCAAATGGCCCACGCATGAACTTTGCACTGCTAGGAGACAACAAATCACAGAGGCCTCATGACCTAGGAAATCACTTCAAATACTTTAAATGCCACTGGTATCTTGACTGCAGCTCTTTCTCCTTCACAACAATACTGTCCTTAACTGTTCCTGGCATGGCTGCAAGATTTTTTGAGCTGATCAAGTGCAAACCCCTTCCACTCGATGCTCTCCCAGCCTATGCTGCACTCATGCAGAAGGAGGAGAGCCCACAGGCTGCTCTGTGGCTCCAGCACAGAGCTCCCCTTCCCCACCAGTCAGGACCCAGCACCCCCACTGACACAAAACCAGCCATGCAGATCCTGCGAGCTTTACGTACACCCCTCTCTGCCTGTTTGCTGTCCAGTGAATGACAGCAGCCATCCTCCATGGAAATAAGGGGAATCACCCTCTCCTTTACCGAGGCATCCTCTGGCATGCAGCGCAGCAGCTGTTACCAGCAGATGCAAACTCTTCTCATGGGGCTGGGAGAGGAAGGAGCAGCTGAGACAGCACACCCCTGTCCAAACCAGAGCGTGGCCAGGCCCCCGCCCCGCTGCACAGCCTGCCAGCACCTCTCTGAGCAGCTCCACCAGCAGCACAGCAAAACCTACCAAGGTCAGCTCAGTTTTGGAGCTCAGAGGCCAGCACCACTGACTGTCCAACAGCTACAGGACTCTGGGAGACTCTTAGCTAAGCTCTAATCCTATCCAGCATTGCTTAATTTGGAAGATGACAAAAGTTCACAGCTTAAAATAGTGCATTTCCTCTGTGAAGCTTTTTAGCTTAGAGAGATTGAACACGGCCTGATGATCCCATCTGAAGTGCAAGCTTCTAGTCAGAAATGGGAGCACAAGTTCTTGACTAGGGGTTTCTGGTAGACCTAATGAGTCTTCTCTCCACCCTTTGGAGAAACCTTTCCCTCAACTTTGAGAAGGGGGACAAACGGTTTGTCATAGCCAAGAGAAGCTTTGTGCTTTGTCAATGACCCTCTCCTCCAGTTCATCACCACCAACATCAAGAAAGTTTATGGTGAGGGGTTTACTTTCAAGACAAAACTTTCTGACCTGAGTAACCACAGGATAGAAAAAGCCAGGGATGAGGCCTCAGAGATGAGAGGGCTGTAGAACCAGGTCTACAGCCTCTCTCCTCTCTTTGGCAGCATTTTTAAAGGCAGCGCTCCCTTAAAGGATGCCTGTGAATTGAGAAAAGACAAATCTTGCAGCATCACTTGCAGGCAACCCTGAAATGAGAAAAAAGCAGAGGTTGAGATGCTGGAAACCTGCCTCTATTTCTGCACTGCTCAGATGCCAAGTGTAACTTTCCACTCGGAGCCCCCGGGCACTGCCAAAGTCTACAGCCCCTTCAGAGGCCACAAACACTCCCTCCTTCAGCCGCTCCAGGACAGGCAAGGCAACAGGCGCTGGGAGGATTTCCAGTCTTGGAAAGGAATACACACAGAAAATATCTTCATTTAGAACAGAGAAGTACAGCTCAAAAACAAAGAGGGCTGCCAGACTTCACTTTATTTAGGGATGTGGCTGCAAAGACCACCCCACATGGATTTGGGTTGTAGTTCTCTTCAGGCAGGAGACTCCATCACCCATGAGCCCATCAGCCTGACATCTCTCTTAGGCACCCAACCTTCCAGCAAGCCAGGACCATCCCTCTCTCTCTCTTCTTCCTCTCTCCACGCTTACACCACTAAAAGTCTTGACCAGAGGCACTCAGATTCGAAGTCCCCTTCCTCGGCTCGGTGTCCCTCACCAGACCCCTCTGTGCTTCAGTTCACAGACAACGCGTTCTCTGGCGTGACCGTGCTGAAGGCCGCTCACCTGGAGAACAACCGGCTCACCCAGCTGCCCCGCAACTTCCCCTTCGACAAGCTGGAGACCCTGGCGCTGTCCCGCAACGCCTGGCACTGCAGCTGCCAGCTGGCCCCGCTGCGCAAGTACGGCCCCCCCGGGACCTGCCCCC